TTTTATTGATTATATTACCATTATTTATGTATTTTAGATGCATTTTTATATTTGTTATACCAAATATTTTTAAATTATATTTTTCTATATATCAAATATTTAAACTTATAAAAAATTATAATTTTTTTTGTTTTTTCATATAAGAAATTAATATAATAATTAGAATATTTTTAAAAGATTGAGATCTTTATATTCATAAACAAATTTTCCTTATAAGACATATTTTTATATTTAGCATTAATATAGTTTCCTAAATGATAGGAATCTGGTGTATATTATTGAAATATTTGAAAAATATTTAACAAAAAATTTGGCAAGTATCCGATTGAAACCCGGAATATTTTGAAAAACCCGACCCGAATCCCTTGTGTACTTCTCTTTTACTATAGTAGGGATGTCTAATAGTTACTTTCGTTTTGTTAATTACCTATAATCTATGGTGACATAAAAAAATATTATATACGTTCATTAAGAAATAACTTTGCCTATTGAGAATTAGCTTTGCCTGGTTTAAACTATTGATTTTTAGACGAATTTGATTTTTTTTTTTTTCACACTATCAAATTGAACGTTATAGGATCGATATGATTCGAGAACATTGGAGTTGTCTAGTTAATTATTTCATTTTATAGGATCGACTTTTACAGATGACCAGCTAATTAAAACAATGACAATTAATTGTTTTCTAATAATCAAATCATATCTAAAAAAAATTAGTCAAATAATCCACCTATTAAAGACAAATTATAAATTAAACCTTCACATTTCTCTCCTAATGAAACCCCTATAAATATACACGAAACAGTTAACATCACCCATCTCAACGAAACTTAAACGCACTACTAGTAAACTTCTCGAGCCTATTCCTCTCCACAATTACAAATGGCTCCAAGAACCTCCCTTGCACTCTTCCTTTCTCTCAACCTTCTCTTCTTCACTTACGCCTCTGCGGCTTGTCCTAGAGACTCCCTACAGCTCGGTGTTTGCGCCAAAGTACTCTTGCAAGTGGAGCTAAAATTTAACACATCTTTAAAGCCATGCTGCTCTCTCATCCAAGGCTTGGCTGACCTTGATGCTGCTGTATGCCTCTGTGATGTGCTCAAGACTAAGGTTCTTGGAACACCTCTTAACCTTCCCCTCAATCCCAGCGTACTCCTCAGTGTTTGCGGTAGAGAAGCTCCAAACAACTTCCAGTGCGCGTAAGTTGAATGGGTGTTTATGATGAACCTATCTTCTTATCTTCTTGTTTTATGTTAAGGTGGTTTTTTTTTTTTTTTTGTATTTTTCTTGAATTCGTTTTCATGCAAATATGCAATAATGGATATAATGCATGGGTTTGTGTATGCATGTAATCGGCAAGTTTGTACTCCTTTACTTCATTGTTCCTCTGTCCCTTCTTTGTAATTATTTTTTTTCGAATTTGATATAATAATTTCACTTCTTACTATAATTAAATTTTAACATAATTAGAAATGAAAAAAAGCCATATTGGAAAAATAATAATTAAGATGCTTGGAATCTCGGTGTTTAATGAACTTGGTGAATGTGACATTAGTCATTAAGTGCTTCTTAATTTAGTTAAGCCGTGTAAATGTAATTGCAACCTCATTGAAGGTTTCGCTGATGACCTAGAAGCTGCGGTATCATCATTAACCTTAGCTTGATCCTCAGCTTCACATGGCTTCCAATGCCCTTAATTTAAAAACAATTATTTCTAAAACTTGGTTAATAGGAATTAATTATATACAAATATTGAAGCTGTTTTCCGGCAGATCTCACCAAGATCGAAGTCTATATTTGATCTGAACAGTTTTGTACCTCAAACTAACAAGTGCAAATTAAGTAAACTAATCATTTTCGAATTATATTTTAGGAGATCTTTTTCTTTTCAATGTAAGATTTTCAGCAGAAATGACTCTTCTAACTTTTTATCTGATTTAATCTATATATATATAAAGTTAGCTTTTTCTCTCTTCTCCTTAAGCCACATCATCATCCACCTCATTTTATTATTTAATTTTTAAAATTAATTATACCATTTTATCATTTAATTTTAAGATTTAAACCTATATAAACCTATATAAAGTTAGCTTTTTCTCTCTTCTCCTTAAGCCACATCATCATCCACCTCATTTTATTATTTAATTTTTAAAATTAATTATACCATTTATCATTTAATTTTAAGATTTAAACCTATATAAATAAATTTATCAAAAATGAATATGAAAGGTCTTTTTTATAGAAATTTGGTGGTTGTGTCAGGAAATTTGATAATATTAACTTTATATATATAGATTACATCTTATCTCAACAGATATTAGACTTACTATAATGTCAAATTGTTTCTTAATTTATATTTGATTTCAATTTTAAATCATTTCCTCTGCTTTCAATTTTTGACTTGATTAACCCGTCAGAGTTCAAAAAAAAAAAATTAGTTTATATTATTGATCACATTGGACATGCTTTCCCTAAAATTCTTGCAAAGTTGCAATTGGCCAAAATTTAAAATTTAAGTTAGACGAATTAATATGTATCTTTCTTTTTTTAAGTTAAGTGAAATATGATTTGATAACTCCAACCATCTGAGATGAAATAATACAATATTATCACATGGAAATGAAATAATAAACTATATGTCTTCGTCTGACTAAATGATGTTTTAGAAATAATGGTGACAAAGGTATTTGTTAAATATATCACATGGACAAAGCATGGAGGAATAAAGAAACTCATTCCAATTTCGATGTGCTTAATTAACAAAAATAGATGTTTAAATGAAAATAGCAGGTTTTAGAAAAGAAACCTGTGATACCTAGATATACATAATATTTGCTTAGATATAGGTGCTATACTACTAGCTTTGATATAACGTCAAAAATAACTCACTCCAACTTATTATCCCTTGATGATGAAGAGTTTTTAGGTTTAACTTGCGAAAGGTGGGATTTACGAGCTGGTCTGAATCACTCTCTCGTCAATCAGGAGGTCGTACAGGGAATAGATCAGGTGAGTGACTCGTTTAATCAGTAGGATAAATGACTCACTCGATCAATGGACGAATGAAGGATGTTGAATCACTCAACAAACTTAGTTCGCAGATTTTGTAAGTATTAAGTGACTCACTCATAAAGAACTGAAAAACAAGATTGAAAAGACTCAAACTTTGACAAGAAGAAAAAATTTCTACTGCTTTGAAATGATCAAGGGTGTTTTACAAATGAACAATCTAATGAGCTTATATAGGCTCAACTACACGTTCTAGTAGTCTAAAAGAGGTGTATTCAAAATGGAATTTTAAGAGATTTGAGTTTTTAAATGATTATGATGATTTTAGAGAAGTTCATATGACTTTTGTAAAATCCTTTTACATCTCACCAAAAACCATGAGATTTGGATTTCTGTATTTTTAACTAAGGAATTCCTTTCAAATCTTCTGAAATCCTTCAAAATCATTAAAAGCCAAATCCACAAATTGTTTTCAATAACAGTGGATTTGAATGTGGATTTTGAAATAATTAGTTCAATAACAATGGATTTCATGAGACTTTTTAAAATTTATATTTGAATAACACTAGATTAATAAGTTCTACACAAATCTCTTAAAATGCTACTTTGAATACACCTCCCTAAACCAAGAAACAAATCGCATAAAATTGAAGACACTAGCCGTTGGGAATTTATGAACCAAATCAGCTAAATAAGGCAAGTAGAAAGATACCTTGAGTTTTGAAAGCTTTGGTGCGAAAACATGATTTCTTAAGGTGTCTAGGTTCATTTTAGAAAGCTTCAAGATGTACATAAGAAAATAAGGAAGTAGTCGTTGCAGCTTTATCTCCTTTGGTTCCATGTATGATAAGTAGTGACTCGTCGGTTTCTTGTATGGTAAGGTGTACTAAAGGTCGTGTTGCACAAGTATTGTTTGGTCTAAATATTTACATGGTTTCCATATCTTATTATATAAACCTTGGTTTTCAAAGTTAGCCATTAACAAGATCGTGACACGTGTTAATTATAATTGATAAGATATTGACACATGTCGTAACTAATTTTGTTAATATTTGGATAATATAGAAATATTATTAACCCTATCGAAAAAAGAAATATATAAAATAAATATTATTAATAAAATATACAAATAACCTAATTTCAGTTATGTCAATTTGGTTTATCAATAAGATAGGGATTTAAAATTTATAATTAACAAGAATATATGACGATTTTTGTTTACAGAAGAGAATTAAGGTTTAAACTTTAATTTTACGATTAAATCAGGTTATTTGTTGGTTTGGGTATATAAATGATAAATAAGAATTATGGTTTATCTTTATAAATTAAAATTATGGTTGAAGTTTAACAATTAAACGAGATTATATGTCGAAACTTGGTTTTTAAA